CGAAATTTCAAACTGGTTTGGCGTAAGGTTAGTTCATTGATCCTGTTGAGCCCTACATTACATAGTTAATCAGTTTAACAATGTAGATGCCATTAGGGGTCGGCGTGGTCGAGTCGGTAAAGCTCATGGTTGCTAAACCGAAAAGTCTCGAGTTCGAACCCCCGGGCAGATGAGGCTCGTTAGCTGGGGACAGCAACTCTTCTAGGAGAGACAACTCCAAAATTAAACAACTGCTGCCTTGTAGTTTGTTCTTGGTTGGACAAAGGCTAAGGAAACAAATCCAGAAAGAAAAGCAGGCTGAAATCGGAGTCAATGGCCTCAATGGCGCATAACCAGTTGACACGTAACGCTTAATTGTGTTGGAGGTGTGATCGAGTCGGCAAAAAGCTCATGGTTGATAGAGTCTCGAGTTCAAACGCACTGGCAGATAATTCTCGATCCCCTTTAACACTTATAATTAAGAACGAAGAAGAAGAAGAAGATGCCATTAGATTAGGTGTAAGTCAAAGCCTGATGTTATTATAAAACTTCATCTCTCTTTGTTTCTTTATAAAAAGGTTAAGGAAGGTTTTTACTTTCTCGTATATACGAAGTATAGAGAAAGTATTGTAATCGTGCAAAAAAAAAATCGAGATTTTTACAAATCTCGACGTTTTACACCTCACTGATACAGAAAAACATAATTTTGCAATCTTGTCCGTATGTCTGTGTGTGTGTGTCTGTGTGTCTGTGTGTCCGTGTGTAAACACGATTACTTGAGTACCGTTACAGCTAGGTTGATGAAATTTCATATATAAGTATTATATCAAAATCGTAGATCCGTATCAACTTTCCGATAATCGGAAGTGGTACTTTTTCTACTTCGCATTTTTCAAAAGCCTATAACTTGAGTACTATTTCAGATAGATACATGAAATTTCACATGTAAGTAAAAGATCTAATTCTCTACCTTCTGTTAAATTTTGAGTAATTTCCGTTGACCGGAAGTAGTAATTTACGCTACTTTCGATTTCTCAAAAAACTAATGTAAATTTTAGAAGTACTAATAATATTGCGCACTATTACGCACATTTGGTTTTGGTGCTCGCTTGGTGCGCAATTTTTTTTTCTACTAGATTTTATTCTATTTTTAAAAGTTGAAGTAAACAAAAATCATGTCTATATTTCGAGTTGACATCCCACGTAGTGTTATATTAGAATATTCGAGAAAGTTTAGGGGAGATCACTCCCGGTTTATTTAAAGTATTTTACTGAAATGTTTACCGGACGAATGCAAAATGATATAAACAACCATAGCTCTTCTGTTATATAGGCTACATGCAGTGTTTCTTCCAGACTTTTTTTCCGGGGGGGGGGGGGGATTTTCGGGGTGGGGGCTTTTCGGGGGGTGGGGGTCAACATTTTTTGGGGGGGGGGGGGGGGGGCGGACACTAGTAATAGTGTATGTATACTTTATAAATATAAATTCCATTTTGTTCGGAGGGGGGGCGGTAAAAGAGATGCCTGGAAGAAACTCTGGCTACATGCAGCCATTATGCTGTTCAGTACATGTTTTGGTTGGGGTTAGGATTGTTACATATAAGTATCCGCATAGATTTAGAGTAGCGTCCCTTTTGTTTACATGTTTTCATTACCCTTCAAACAAAAATTCTATTTTAGTTATATTTAGATTAAAGAATGTAAATAAATAGTACACACAATTCTGTAGAATAGGAACGATTGGGAATGAAGTGACATTTAGCGCAGGAAATTTAGAGGTTGGATAGGGTATAATAAATGGTGGGGTTAGGAAAGTTAAGGGGTCCATTCTCTAATAGGCAGTCTATGTCTCTTTCGTACTTTCGTGTTGGTTTATTGTCGAACCTGTCCTCACCTCGCATCACAACAGTTGGGTGACGCTTATCGTGTAATGTTAAAATAAATAGCATGTAATTGAGTTAGTTCGAAGTGAGTTTTCATACAAGCCCAACGCACTAATTAAGGTTGTCGCAAAATGTAACATATGTAACATACGTCAATGATTTCAATGAATTTTCATTAAAAAAAGATGTCTAGTACAGTTTACGAAACTAACAAACTTCGCCGATACTTTTTTGGTGGGTAGGATGGTAAGTGGGTAGGCGGGTAGGTGGGTAAGTGAGTAGGTGGGTAGGTAGGTGGGTAGGTGGGTAGATAGGTAAGTGTGTAGTTGGGTAGGTAGGTAGGTGGGAAGTAGGTAGGTAGGTAGGTGCGTCATGATGTAAAAAAAAAATTAAATACATAATTGTTAATTTGGTTCGAATGAATGTTACGAGAAATATGACGAATGCATGTTTGATGAGGAACGGGTTGTTATGGTATGTAAGCTAGGTAGTTCGGACTAGGGAGAATGTGAAAGATACTTCGTGTAATGTCGATAGTTTTATGTTTATTTATACGAGAATAGTAGTTGAATAATTATTGACCAAGAAAATAATAGGCATTATGTAAAGCGATTATCGCCTATATCGTGGTGATGGAAATGCACACGGTAGTGGTACGCTTTAAATGGTAGAAGATCACGTGATCAAACACGACACTCTCACAGCAGCCCTAACATTCATGTATAATTGTGTCATCTATTCGATATAGGTCTTTGTGCTAAATTTCTCTTTTGCACATTTTTCATTGTGTTTTTTCTGGTTTCGCATTTTTCTGTTTGTGCTTTTTTTCTGTTTGCGCTTTTTCCGTTTGCGCTTTTTTTCTGATTGCGCTTTTTTCTGCGTGCGCTTTTTTCTGTTTGCGCTTTTTTTCGTTTGCGCTTTTTTCTCTTTGCGCTTGTTTTCGTTTGCACTTTTTTTCCATGTGCGCTTTTTTCTGTTTGCGCTTTTTTCCGTTTGCGCTTTTTTCTCTTTGCGCTTTTTTCCGTTTGCGCTTTTTTTCCGTGTGCGCTTTTTTCTGTTTGCGCTTTTTTCTGTTTGCGTTTTTTTCTCTTTGCGCTTTTTTCTGTGTACGCTTTTTTCTCTTTGCGCTTTTTCCGTGTGCGCTTTTTTCCGTAGCGCTTCTTTCCGGTTACCATTTTTATGTAGTGATCAATTACTCATTTCAGAAAAACAATTTATTTCTCCATCACTTCCAAGTAGTTCATCTGTTAAATGAACTTATTTGTGTCTATTTCAGTTAGAACTGTATGTAAAACTTTTGAATTAACATTTTATGTTGTTTTTTTAAATATAAAAAAAAATACTTTAAATGACAAGCATCACATTCAAGAGTATTACATTTTTAAGACAGAAAACAAACTGATTGTTTTAAAAAATCACATGACAACTGTTTAAAATATAATGAAAATCTCTATGCCCATGTATGGTCAATTTATTCATGAAAAAAATATTAAAACAAACAAGTTATAACATTTCACATTTTAACTCCAAAATGAATTTTGTTATGTCTACCTTTGTGAATTTTTTTTTATAACAAGCATGACATTCGTATGGCTTTTCTCCAGAATGAATATTTTTGTGAAGTAATAACTTCCTTTTGAGCAAACATTTTATAACGTATCTACATCACATTTATGTGGCTTTGGTCCTGAATTAATTTTTTATAGTCTTTTTAGCGCAATTTCCATTCTGGAGAATTGCGTTTATTAACCCGTTATTTCTGGATGGATGAATGAATGTGTGTCCGCAGCTTTAAGTCGTATCTCCTCCTCAACGAAGCAATATCGAGGACTAGTTCCAAAAGCAATTATGTTAATCAAGTTACGAGGATGAACATATGCCATAAAAATTCCGGGTTTATTTCATGGATTTCCCGGAAAAGCCAAAAAAACTCGGAAAAAATGCAGTTTTTGTTCCATATCTCGGCAACCAGACCACTTAGCGACTTGAAACATGTGCCAATCGATTCCTGCCATAATTTAGAACAATATTGACGAACAAAGTTTTCAAAAATATCCTTTCGTTCGGTCACAAAAAAAATTTTGAATTAATTAAAATTTGGACCGAATTAGTAGGCATTTTAATCCAACCACACCACACGCGTCATCACGTTCAATAGCTGCGCCATCACGTTCAATGGCTGCGTCATCACGTTCAGTAGCTAGGCGCGCAATGGTTTTTAGTCATGTAACTATTGTAAATAAAACATATATTTTAACCAATGGTTTTACTAACCCTGCTCTTGTTTTACGCTACGACAGAGCTATTTTTAGATAACATAAGGAAATTGCGCTAAAATTGTCACTAGACTTTTTAATTAACTTAATTTTTTTCCTATCTTACATAGGAATGAACACTTTTGTGTCTACTTAAACTATAATTGTGAGTAAATGTCTCATGACAAACCTCACATTCATGTGGCTTTTCTCCAGTATGAATTATTTTGTGTTTACTAATATAATATTTGTCTGAGAACTATTTATGACAAACCTCACATTCATATGATTTAACTAATGAATGAACTTTTTTATGTGCAGTTAATAATTTCAACAATTGCTTTATTTTACATTTAATTATGATGAAGTCATAGGGACATTATTGAGTAAGAATAGAATCAACTGCATATACTCATTCAATCTGTTTTAGTTGACAGTACCCTAGATTGGACAGGTTAACATTTATATATTTTATGTTTTGAAATATGTTGAATATGAGGAAAGTAGCTGTTTTCTTTACTTTTTCTCATATATATAATCAGAAGAAAAGTATTAAAACAAGTGATAAATTGTCTAATATCAAGTGTCCAACTAAGCCTTTGTTGTCTGACCTTCAACTACCTGATATGTTAAGGCATTGCACTCTGCAGCATAACAGGAGGGTAAACACACCCCAGCATTCAAAACACATGGGCCTCATTGTAATTTATGTTAACATACAGATAGTGGTGTATAATGAACATTTTTAAATATATATAGATATTGACATGACAATAATGACAGGTTTTAGCAATTTTAATCTATTTAAAGTTACAATCAACATTAACATTTCACTTTAGTAGAAATAAAATATAAATATACATACATATTGACATAAGTTGTAGCAATTTTGATTGATTTAAAGTTACAGTCCATTGACATTTCACTTTCACATATATTATTTAATACAAAATTTAAATACGACTAAGCATAAATCATTCTAATATAAGATACAATATTTTAAACTATAACTATTGTAACTTATATTTCTTATTTTATTTAGCACTTGGAATATAACAGTAGAAAACTATCATGTTAGCTTCAACACTTTATGTAGTAGGCCTATTTGTCTTCTCTCAAGACTCCATTCATAGAAAACTCACTGCATCATCAGCAAGACATCACCACACAGAAACAAGACATTCAAGATACATCATTAACATATATGTAATACATCATTAACATTTATGTAATACATCATTAACATATATGTAACACAAGGGACATAACAATAACAAGACAAAAAAACAATAACAAATTGCTGTAGCTTTAGCCTTTCTTTCCTTCAAATTTAAAATGTGAATGCTATATAACTGTTTGGCGAATTTTCAAGCAATAGAAACTGAAAGTTGTGAGACTTAAGGATTCATGGTAAATCTCCTGACTGAATATTATAATGACTAGTTGAAATATTTTTATGAAAAAGTATTTTACGCCAAACATTACATTCATAAGGCTTTTTTTTCTACATGAGCCATTTTATGTATATTCAAACTAGATTTTCGAGAATATCTAATATGACAAAGTTCACATTCATAAGGCTTTTCTCCTGTATGAACTCTTCTGTGTAGCCTTAAATTAGATCTTTGAGAACACCTTTTATGACAAATATCACATTCATATGGCTTTTCTCCTGAATGAACCCTTTTGTGTGTATGTAAAATAGAACTTTGTGCAAACCTTTTATGACATACATCACATTCATATGGCTTATCTCCAGGATGATATAAATGAATTATTTTATGTCTACTTAAACTACTATTGCGAAAAAATTCTTTATGGCAAATATCACATTTATGTGGCTTTTCTCCTGAATGAATTCTTTTGTGTTTACTAAGATAATTTTTGTCTGAGAACTTTTTATGACAAATGTCACATTCATATGGCTTATCTTCTGAATGAATTCTTTTGTGTTTACTAAAATAATATTTGTCTGAGAACTTTTTATGACAAACATCACATTCATATGGCTTATCTTCTGAATGAACATTTTTGTGATGTACTAATAAATTTGTCTTCTGACTAAACTTTTTATGACAAACATCACATTCATGTGGTTTTTCTCCCGAATGAACTTTTTTATGATTACTTAAATCATAGCCTCTAGAAAAACTTTTCTGACAAACATCACATTCATGACGCTTTTCCCATGTATGAACTTTCTTATGTGCATTTAAATCAGATCTGTGTGCAAACCTTTTATGACAAATAACACATTCATATAGCTTATCTAATACTAATACCAAATGAACTTTTTTTGTCAATAAATCTGGTTTTAAAATTCTGCTAGTTGATAAAGTTGCTAATTCTAGTTCTGTATCTTTAGATGTGGAACATACTGATTCACCAGTTGAAAATGCTGTTGTAACACCAGGTTCAACATCTTGAGAAGTTGTAAATGTAATGTGTTTTACATCATCAAAAGATGAAAAGGTTGACAATTCAGTTTTTATGGTATCAGCATAGGAAAATTCTGGTGTAACAACAGGTTTAACATCTTGAGAAGTTATAAATGTCATGTTCGGTTTAGTGTCCTCATAAGATGAAAATTTTAATTCTGTTTTGATGTTTTTAGAAGCTGAAAATTCTGAAATAACATCATGTGTAACCGCTTGATAAGTTAAAAAAGTCATGTTGGGTTTTATATCATGGGAAGTCAAAAATGTTAATTCTGTTTTTATGCCATCAGAAGATGAAATTAATTTTAATAGATCTTGTTTCAAATCTTCAGAAGTTGAAAATTCTGTTGATTCATTTGAACTGCTATCTACTACAGTTGAAATGGCAGCTAAATCATCTGTTTCCTTCTCCATGCTGCTCTGCTACTTATAATTGAACTACTGATTTAAAAAACAATTTAAAATGTTTGAGTTGGTTGTGATTATATAGCTTAAACAACATGTTAATAGTAAAATAACAGAAATTTTGGCAGATACCAGAAGTTCTATTAATCTGTTTACTTAGTAAGATGTGATTTAAAAATAGATATTGAGAATTTCCAAAGCTATAAACAGACCAGGAGCTGCCAATTTTTTAAATATACTTAAAAAAATATGTAATACATAATTCATTATAATAATAATATATGATGGTGTATTTATATTATTTATTATGAATTAAATTATTGTTAAAATATTTCATTGTTTAGTGTGCATTATTTAAATAAAAGAACCAAATGATTTTTGAATTGGTTAGTACACAAATATATGATACAGAATAAATATAATACATATGATGTCAATAATCTAAAAATTAACTATTATTTTATGGGGAGAGGTGGGGGTCAAATTTTTAAAAAGAGAATCAATAGGTCTATATTTACATTGTTAACAAGTGATCAGTATGTGAAGTGAAGTGACCAGCTTGTGATATAGGGTGATCAAAGCTACACTATAAAAAGTACTACACACACATTCTCTATTATGATATTTGTGTATTTTTTTACTTCTTGTAATTAGCTTTCACTTATTTCCTAATTGTCTGTTTATTTGTTTTTCTGTGTATTTTCCCCCCATCTCTCAATTTGCGTATCTTCCCTGTTTTAGTTCTAAAAAAAACTTTTTTTTTAAATAAAACCTCTAGTTTAATTATTTTTAGAGCTTAAATGCTAGGACAGATGAGGTTGACTGAAGGGTGTATGGAAGGGTGTTTGTTTGTCTAACTGTTGTTTGTCATAAGTATATTTATGCATGTAGTGAAGCAGACATGGAATTTGGACAGACATTGATCTATTATCACTTTGAGATGTCAGACAACCACTGAAGACAATCCACGCATGGTAGAGTGTTCATTAAGAAAGGTTTGGGGGCTTAGATGATAATTTCAATCAAAAGGCAATTTTTGCCATTTTTTTTTAAATTAAAAAAAAGAACTATTTATGCAATAGTGGCTGACACTTTAAAACTCATCAGACGATTAAGGATATCTTGAAAAAAATGTAATTTTAGGCCCACCTAATTTTTACATTTGGAAATATTACAATTTGCTTGGTCTATGAAGGGAGGGGTGGGAGTGACCAAAGACAATCTCTAACAACAATAGTTCATGCTAAGACAAATGCTATAGGCCTGCTAAACTCATGGTGAACTTTTGACCATGTAAGGATTTTTCTCCAACAGGCAAGGAAATGAAAGCAGTTGATCTTATGAGTGACAATGTTTTTAAAATCTTGAATATTTTTTTAAAATATTATTTTGATCAAGAAAAGATTTATAAAAAAAAAAGAAAACTTGTG